ATAAATTATACTTTAAGAAATCAGCTTTATAAAAAAATGGTTAATCTGATAGTCAGTGAGGTGACTATAATTAATAACTGCAATGTAAGTTGAAAGCTGTTAAAATAATATCTTAACTCTCCTCACCAAAAAAATTGTAATTTTGTGAGATCATAGATACATTAACTAACCTTGTTTTTTTTGTGTTTTTTTTAAAGATTTATTTACTTATTTATACAAGCACTGGGTACAGTCAGAAGCATGGAAGGGTGAGAGGATTCACCAGAGCCAGAGCGGGGAACAGAACAGGCAGACAGAGGAAGTACACTGCTGAGGGGAGCAGCGGGCGGCAGGAGAGGTCTGCGCACCCATTAACTAACCTTGTTGTGGTAGCCATTTCACAAAATAAACATACATCAAATCATTATATTGTATACCTTAAGCTTACTGTCAATTATATCCCAATAAAGCTAGGGGAAAAAACAATAAAATTTTGGTGCTGCTATGTTAATATCAACCAATAAACTTTAAGATATAAAGCAATACAAAAAGTAAACACACTTAATAATAATAAATTCAATGGACAAAATGTGTTTAATGTTGCTTTTCTGCCTATGGACAGCACCGAATAAGCAGCATAAAAGACTCCCTTCCCACTACCAGGATTTCTAAGTCAGAGTCTCCCAAAGAGCTGGAACAGCTACGAAAGTTTTTCATTGGCGGTTTAAACTTTGAAACAATCTATGACAGTCTGAGAGGCTGTTTTGAGCAATGAGGAAGGCTCACAGACTGTGAGAGAACAGGCTATTTTAGTGTTCCTCTTTCCATAATTGATAGAACAAATAAATTCAATAATTCTATAAACTATTTTAGTAATTTGATCAATGAACCTATAATATAGGTTCTTTTCAAACACACATGGGAGAGTTAAGAAAACAAGAATATATCCTTGGCAGCTAATTAAGGTTCAAAAATGTCAAAGTGTTAAGATCATATGGTGTGTGTTTTCATAATACACTCAAGTTAGCTGTCAGTCATAAGCATTTTAAATCACCATGTTTAGAAATGAAGCAATATACTTCTCTCAGTCCATAAGTCAGAGAGAAAAAAATTAAAATGGAAATTTAGAAAATATGCTATACCTTGTGTGCCTGGGGGTATGGGCACAAGTGGTTTGATGGAGGATGAAAAAAAATTGTAGCTGTTACCACTATTAAGATAATTGGCTCTGTGTCAAGGGCATGAAATACAGAGAAACCAAGAATAGAAAAGACTGGGAAAAAAACAGAAAATATTCTAATCTTCACAACAGTGAAAATACCATGTCAAATTATGAGATACAACTAAAGTTTAGAAAGCAAAGAAGTTTAGAAAACAAAAAAGCTAAAAATTAATTAAGTATTCATTACAAGTTTTTTAAACTTTTATTAACATTAACCCAAAGAAAATAATAGGTATATCCACAGAAATTAATTAAATAGAATACAACCATAAAATATAATAAGCAAAACCAAAGTTGCTTTTTTGTAAAGAGTTAATAAACCTCTGAACCAGCAGAGAGAGAAAGAAGGCGCAAATAAATGTCAAAAGGGAAAAGGGAAATTTATTATAAATCCTGCAAGTCTCAAAAAGACATTATGAATAACTTTATGACAATACATTTGAATATTTGAGATGAAATGGGCAAATTTCTAAAAATATGAAACTTGCTAAAACTGTCTCAAAGACAAATATAAAATTCAAAGTCTAAAATCACTACAGAATTTGAATTTGTAATTCACTACTTTTTCAAAAGAAAATATCAGTCCCAAATGGCTTCACTGATGAGTTCTACCATATATTCGAGGTAGAAATCTCTTCTTTTCAGAGAAGAGGAAAAAGGACATAGTCCAATACAATGCATAATACTGATCGGAAAAGGCAAGTATTGCAAAGGAAACTCATAGACCAATCTTGGTATGAATATAGATGCAAAATCCTAAACAAATATTAGCAAACTGAATCTAACAATAACCGGCACTTTGGAACATTTAAATAACACCAGTCCCCCATAACATGGTTCACATTCCAATTACCAGAGAATTTTAACTGTGAGTAATTACAGAAAGTACAAATTCCATTGCTAGATCGTCAGCCAACAAATCACTGCAAATAACAGCTCATAATTGATGACCAATGACATCACTTCTTTTAAAGTCTGTTTGTGATTAGTCACTGCCCATCTGTTATTCAGTTTACACATGGACAGCAAAACATGTAGTTATGTTACTTCTTTGTATCTTAGTAATACGCTCTTGTGACACATTACCAAAGTGAATACTTGAAAGAGGGAATTGGCCGACGAAATTGCAGCAAAGAAATGAAAAGTGATTACATGAAAGTAAAATTCAAATAGAATGTAAATGAAGTTGTAGAAGAAAAAGTTGACTGTAAGATTATTGGCACTGCAGCCTTCAAGAAATTCTAGATATGCAAACAAAGCAAACTTACTGACATACATGAGAAGGTGATGATGAAGAAAAGACATTCTCAGAGCAAATGACACCAGCAAAAATTCTTCTCATTAAAGGAGTTCTCAGAGATATTTCACAACATTGGAAGCTTAAAAGATAAAGTGTTGGAAGTTTACCCAAACTTGGAGTATGACAAATCTCCAAGCATAGGAAAGATGCTTACTCCATAAGTTACATAATACTCAGAAGGCAAGCAGTGTCCTAACTACTCTTTGGTAATTTTTCTGCAAAGAAACAAAAACATTATAATTCTCAATGTTCCAAATGTTTTAAATTACAGTGTACCAAATATCAGTTATACTATTTTTCCCCATTTATCTCTCTATATATAAAACCAACAGCAAGTTTTTAGTGTTTTGCGAATAACTAAAGGTCACAGAAAAATTACAATTTCCATTGATTAGAAGATTGCTTGCCATAGTTTCAACTTTCATAATCATTTTTACAATCTTGCCCAACCACACAGAATGAGGATTGAGTGTATGTATTTTTTAGCAATTATGATCAAGTTGGTTTGTTTCAGAAATACAAGGCTGTCTTACGACTAGAAAAATCAGTCCATTAATTCAGCACACTAACAGATTAATGAGAAAAGCAGTTGCATCATCTCAGCAGATTCAAGAAAAGTCATTGAAAAAATGCAACTCAACTTCAAGATAAAAAAGCATAGCAAACTAAGAATATAAAGGAATTTCGATAATTTGATAATATGTTTTAAAAATTAAATAGGAAGCACAAAATGGGTTCAAATGTATATGGAATAAATAAAAGCTACCATACCAAATATTTTAAGAACCTAATCATATTTTTAGGATTGAGATAGAAATGGGACATAAATACATAGATGGATGAGGAAAGGGGAGTTACTAAATAGTAATAAAGGCATTATTCACCTGGAAGGACATAATAAATATAACCAGGTATGCCTCTAGCTCCAAATATATAAAGCAAATATTGTAAGAACTCAAAGGAGAAATTTACTAATTCACTATCATAATGGGAAATTTTAACACCAATAATTGATAGAACAGTCAAAAATCAGCAAGCAACATAATTTACAAGCCCTACTAATAAATAGCTAGAGAAAATTGCACTAAACATCCGGATAACATACATTCTTTTAAGATATTCATGAAAACTAATGGAAATTTACCTTGTACATGGCTATAAAGAAAGCCTCAAAAGTTTTAAAGACTTGATACAGACGGGCAGTGTTCTCTGGCACAACACAATACATCAAAGTGATACAGGGCAGCAAGGGGCACTAAAGCTGGCCAAGGACACTGCCCAAATAGTTTACCAGTCACTGAGTTCTTTACCCACACGCACAATTGCAAGACTGCTCAGGCTCAGGGAACAACAAAGGGATTTATTTAACAAACCAGGGGAAAACAAAGCATTACTGAGGCCAAAGTGGCCGTTTACCTCACTCAAAGCCATGTGCAGTGTTTTCCAGTCCTAAACAAAAGCATTTAAAATGGTGTCTTCCCACCACTGAGGACACAGATCTTCTCTCCCAAACAATAGGCCATGTGTCCAAGATGGCATCTTCCTGCCACTGCGGGCACGCGGCAGCCAAACCGTAAGCCAGGTTCCAACTCACGAGACAGCAAAAAACACAACAGGAGATGCCACATGAGCTGCCGAGGGACCCCAGCACAGCACCAACGAGCGACACTCAAAACATCAGCTACAGGGCCTCCCTGGTGGCGCAAGGGGTTAAGCACCGCACTATGAAGCAAACCTCAGCCTCTGCAGCACGAGTTCGATCCCGGCTGGCCAGGGAGCTACCCACATGGCGCAGCAGACCTCTCCTGACTCGCCCGCTGCTCCCCTCAGCAGTGTATTTCAGTACATCTGCCTGGTCTGCTCCCCCGCTTTGTCTCTGGTGAATCCTCTCACCCCCACCCCCAACCCCACGTCTCTGGCCTGTACCCCAGCTCTTGTATGCATAAATAAATAAATCTTTAAAAAAAAAAAAAAAAAAACACCAGCTACAGCAGTCAAATGACCCAACAAACAGCCACACTCACGGATCTCAGTAATATGCCTGGCAGGGTGGCAACAGCAGCAAAACCAGAAACAGTTTCAGTCGCTGAACTACTTATAAAGCATCCAAACTTTTCCTCTCTGAGGTTGGCTGCTGAAAGCCTCCACCTTCAGAGGCCCACAACAGTTTTCTGAAAGATTGGCATTGTGGGGACCAAAATCCGCTGACCCCTCATGCTGAATCCCGAACACTGAAAGACTGTGCCCCCTTCTGTAGTTACTTATATTTTTTATCAGTCACTCACCCCACTTTTTAGCATTTTCCCTGGGGCTATTGATCCTGCCAGCAACCCCCTCCAGGGAACACCACGTGTGTATGGCTTCAGCCACCAATTACAAAAGCATAAAGCGAAGCTTGGAAATCTCCAAATCAACTTTAAAACTCAATCTGATCAAATCTTTTTCCAACATCGACCAGTGTCCTGGAAATACTGGAGAGAAGCACATGTTAAATTATACCATGAGGATGCCTTCAATGACTCAGATGGTGGTAAAAGCAACAGGACAGACAAGCCAGCTCCTTAAATGTGTAAATCTGTTGGGGGAGGTGCAGAATGAGGAGAAAATGTAAATAAAAAGAAACTTAAAGACATTCAAATTAGTAACAACATATAAATTTCATTTGGAATGCTGAGAAGTAGGGCATTAAGACAGAAGTAGATATCCAGATACTTACTGAGACAGGAAGGGTCCGAGACCAGGACAGGACAGGGCTCTAGGGCAAAACGTTGCTGTTCCTTAATAAGGAGTTCTAGACCTTGAGACCAGACCAGCTCAAACTGGAGCTGCAGGCACAAGGCCTCCATGAGATATCCACCTTGGAGATGGTCATGACCTTGCACGTCCCCCTGCTGCAGCTGGTTTGTGCTCACAATTAGCAACAGTAACTGGACCACGTTCAGATGGACAAATTAACTACAGCCCAGTCCAGTCTCCTTGCTTTCTCAGCCAATAAAGTTTAATTCTTTTAGTCTCAAACTCCAGTCCTACAGACCCTCTCGCAACAAATCACCCACAGGGGGCCAGGCAGCAGGGATGCTGGGGTGCCAGGAGGCTCAGGAAACAACTGAGCCTCCCAGTCCCTGCAAATCTCTGCACTTTCTCACCTCTCCCTGGAATTCTCGTGTTGTTTCACTGTGTTGCCTCAGTGACGCCGCCCTTTTACCCCTAGCCTCTAGGCCCGGGTGTGTGCATTTACACACACGCACGCCCATGATATTTGGGCTCAGGTGTCCATAATCATGGCAGAAATGTAAGGTGGGAGTCATAGAGACTAGAGGTGGGAGGGCATAAAAAAGCCTGATTCACTTCATTTACTCTACAGACCCTTAACCTTGGCACCTCAGGGAGTCTCTCATGCCCAGAGAGGTATCCCCAGACCTCTCTTTGCTTGCTCTTTCACTAATTAATAAATGCTGACTCCTGGCTTTTACTAGTGTCTCTTTTCAATCTTGACTAGAGGATCTCAAGAGCCCTCTCCCAGGAGGGGAGGAGGTGCCCTCAGTCCATCCAGCCAATTCCCAGGAGGTGGTGCAGTGGCCATCACTCGATTCACTCCTAGCTTATCCACCTGTGTTGTTGTGGGGGTGGGATAGGACTGGGGGAGCCCCACATCCTCTCCCTAGTCTGGTGACATTTACTATGTGTTGATAATATTAAAGCATTATTAACTGATATTTGCTTCAAAGTAAAGAGGAGTGAATGGGGGACACAGAGCAAAACAAGATTGTCTATGAGTTGATCATTGCCAGTTAGCCGGGAGAAGCATGGGTGTCCATTAAGTAATTCTATTTTTGTGTATGTCTGAAATTCTCAGTAATAAAATCTTGAAAGAAATTAATAAATTTGGCAGACTAATGAAAATGACAGGATAGGCTCCCTTGTGCCCAATGTGCCTTTCTCAACTTCACACCCGCTCTTTTATACTGTGCTCTGTACCACTAGAGCTTGAAGTCAGCGACTGGTTTTCCTGCAGATTCCACCACTGGGAATCTAAGTTACTGTTGGAAGATCAGAAGGGACAAAGACAGAAGTATCCTCTTTGGGCAACCAAAAAAATATGGCAGTGCTGGTTGTTGTAAGGAGGCACAGGTAGGGAGATCCTGAACTCTTACAGCCTGAGCCAAATCACCATCTTGATTTGGTTTGAATCCTGGTCAAAGGTGGCACCTTTTTTGATGAAGCTGGATCCTGCTGAGCTCACCTCTCCACGGCACTGCAGCAGGTGATGAAATGGGTTCCAGCTCAGGGACATTAGCAGCTTCTGATTGTTCAGTATCATCTCTCCTTCCTCTTTATTTCTCCAGTATCTTCTCTTTCTTTTTTCTCCTTTGACAGATATTATAGCCAGTTCCCTATATTAAATTATCAAAATACCTAGAGTGGTTTATGTCTGGTCAGACCCTGACTGCCTATAGTATAGCATCAGGAGTGATCTTAGAAAAAGAACCTCAAAAATGAGATTCTGGAATTGGGTTGGTGGCTTATTTGAGTATCAGTACAGTAATAATCTCATCACAAGTGGAAAATGAGAAACTTAAATCCACAACTTGTTGTGCCATTATGATTTCTCAAATCACCACTCATGGTTGCTTGGAATGTGAACCTATTAAAGGCCAGGCCTTGGGCGGTCAAATGGCTGCTGAACTTGACTGTTAGGACGGTGATGATGACTTATAGAGACTGAGGTGGGCTAGCTGTTTCTGAACACACTGGAGAGTTTACGCAAGAAAATGAAAATTTTAAAAAGATTTCAGCTTTCAGCCTAAGGCTTAATCAGAGAAAGCAAGAGAGTCTGTGGCAGCACCAAAATTAGTTCTTAACTCTTGTAGTCACAGAGCAGACATGGTTGAATAGAAGATTCCAAATGGCACTGAATGTAACAGAATTACAAATATCTAACCCATAGCTTCACCAATTCTCCTATGTGAAAATTAGGACTTGACTACAGAGGAATAGGACCTGAGACTGAATGGAAACATTCTGGTGGTCTTGAAAGAATCTAAGAAACCAAATCTAAGAAACCAATCACATTCCTTGAACCTCCCTTGCTAACAGTTACTTCTCCTTTGTCCAAGGACAGTAGCCAAGCCTGGTTGTAATAACCTCACCTGAGGCCTTTCAAGAGACCCCTACACTCTTCAAGACTCACCCAAATACATACCTATTATTTCCAGATTCGTACTGATAATGAGATTCACAACTATAATCAGTAGTGTTTCATGCAAGAGGTTATAGCTTATATACATGAAAGACGGGCACATTTCTACTCATAGTATTAGAAACCCTAGGAACATGTGTGGGAGTGGATCCCAAGAAGGCTGGCATATAGCTTTGGATCAGGCAGAATGTATCAGTTACAGGTACCCTCAGCCGAAATTCCATATTTAATGTATTAGCATTAATAGTTAGAAATACTGGGGGCCTCCCTGGTGGCACAAGGGATTAAGCACCTTACTATGAAGCAATCCGCGGCCTCTGCAGCATGAGTTCATGATCCCTGGCTGGCCTGGGAGCTACCCACATGGCGCAGCAGCCCTCTCCTGTCTCGCCCACTGCTCCCCTCCCACTCTGTCTCTGGTGTGTCCTCTCACCACCCCCACTCCCTGCATCTCTGGCCTGTACCCCAGCCCTTGTATGCATAAATAAATAAGTCTTTTTAAAAAATGCCTCTAATGATTTGCTTGATTGACTAAAATCTGGGCTCAACAATGGTCTACAATAAAAGAAACTGATATATCAAAATGCATAAAACAGAGAAGAAACTCAGTTGTTGGAACTCTACGAACAGCAGCATTTAATGTTATTATCTTTGCATGTCCCATATGTAAACAGCAGTGAGTCATAGCCAGACAGGGCTAGTGGGGTGAATCCTGCTGGTCTGCCTGCTGGGCTTCCTGGCTTCCGGCCTTTTTTCTGAGCCTGGACCTCCAGTCTTCCTGTAGGTACTCTGTTTACTTTGATATTCCACCCCCAAATACCTTTCCTACGGAAATTATCCAGAGTTGCCTATAACAAAGAGCCATGAATTATACAATTTATAATTTACCTTTCAGCTACAAAGGCTCTTTATAACTCACATCATGTTGCTTTCCATTTCAATTGTAATCTTTGATTCCCAGGCCACACATTTGCAGAAGACTGGGAGAATAGGAATGAAAGTGGCAAGTCCAGAAAATACTGCTTCAGAATTATGAGATAATCTTTTTTAAAAAAAAATTTTATGACTTAGTTGGCTGCCACTTTAAATGCTCATGAAGTTGGGGAAAAGCAATAAAAAAACAAACAAACAGAAAATGTCTTCTGCTAAATAATCTTGTTTATTCACCTGCTAGGCAAGTTTTGTTTTGCTTGTAATTATAGGATGCAGAAACTTTAATATGGAAATGTAAATCATAAATCTCCAAAGAGGGGTTTAGAATTCCATAATTCCCCAAATTTCTTAATCATGGAGTATTTAGACTTGGAATACCTAAAATACAGATCTGGTTTGAGGAAACTTGTATCTGTTTGTGCCAGTTCCACACCACACCTCCCTCCCCCAGCCCAGAATTATTCATTTCTACACTTCTGGCTGCAACCCTTCCCTGAGCGTCTAGAACACTTCTCCCATGTCTGCCTCCATGGGCTCTTGCTCGTTGCTGGCTCCTGACTTCCTAGAGATCATGTAAGACCTGCAGGCTTGGAATAGACCACCTTCTTAGATGCCCACTTTGGCCTGAAGTAGAATCTTTCTGGGCTGTTGTCCTCAACATATCCTCTAGTGCTTAGCTCTAAGACCAGCTTTCTCTTGGTGCTTGCATGGTCCTGCAGGCTTGTGTCCTGCACAGCAGACACATGGAGTTCCAGATCACCAACCCCCCTCAGTCTCCTCCCTCCTGTACTTTATCTGTATTGGGTGTGACCTGAGATTTGATGGTGACACTTGAAAATAGTTGTCTTGCGGATGGATAGAACAGAAGTGACAGAGAAGTAGGTAGAAGGCTCCAGAAAGGCATTGTGACACTTGTCCATGAGGTCGTTACTGAGTGCCTCACCATTTATGGGGCTCAGATGACAGCCCAGAGCAAGAGCTGATATAGCTGGGTGACTCCAAGGAGAACCAGCCAGAATAGTTGATAAGTAAATATGATTTGTCCAAACCAGGCAGCTCACAGACAGATAGGAATGGAAGAAGAAAGACAAGAGTCCCTGGAGATCTTCAGGATGAGCAAGGGAGGCGACCATAGGATTAAGCGCCAGGTTGTGGGAGGCCCAGAAGTGTTATAGGGGTCCCTGGAAGGAAGAATTGGAGTTCCCTATGACGAACACTGTTCTGAATCTATTTTTGTCCTCTCTCATCCCCATTGATGTGGTCTGGGGAAGCAAAGGTCACAAATTATAGCTGAAATTCAAATTAGTATATTGCAAGTTACTAAGTCGCATTTTCATCCTAAGACAAAAATCACATGGTATAAACTAATGTTCTTTATTATAAGCAGTCTGGCTAACATTAAGAGAAAAGAAATATTTGTGAAGACTATTAGAATCAAAAAAACTGGAGAATCAAGTACTAAGACAGGTCAGAACAGATCATCAGTGAGAACAATCCAAGCCACGTGTCAGGACCCACCTGGGCAGCACAGTCTCCCTGCTGCCATGGGCCACTGCAACCTCAGACCACTGAAACTCAGACCACTGCAACCACAGGCCACTGCAACCATAGGACACTGCAACCACAGGACACT